GCAAACACAGAGGGCAGATGGAGAAGGGATGGAGGTTCTTGACTGGACCCTTTGCCCAGTTCTCAACTTGGATATCTTGTTGGGGTTCCAGCTCTGGCCATCCTGCCCCGATCCTGCACATCTCTCCATGTTTACTCCGGAACAGAGTGGACTCCTCCAAGAGCTCACCTCCAAGCTTTGTCCGCTAACGGTCAAGGGAAACATTGGGAGAAGCCCATTTCCCACAGTGGTTCTGGGTTCACACCCCACCATGACTCTCTGGGGTCTGAGTGATTTCCAGCTTGCCTGGCTGAGTGGTCATGAGGACAGCCAGCCTTGTCCTCTTCTAAAGGGATAATGGAGCCAGGGTGCCGCAGGCATGTCCAGTGTCCTTAGTTTTAAGAACAAAGGTTGGACTGTGCTGAGAGCCTGCTTCTCTTGGGTCCCTGGACTTCTTGGCTAGTCAGAGGGGGCTCTGCTTCAGAGGCATGCTTTCATATAATACCTCGTGAATGCTCCCAGCCCTCCGACCCTGACAGCTCCTCAGCGATGACAGAGCGGTGACCCCGGAACAGGGAGGAAGAGAGCTGAGTCGTTGTTGTCAACCCCAGGGGCAGAGGCTGGTCCCACATAAGCCGTGTTAGAGTGGGAAGATTATTGGCCCTGGTGTCTGAAGGCCTAGAGGTCAGAGTGGCCTCTCTGTAGCTCAGTCTCCCCAGCTGTCAGGGGGATAATGATATTCACCTTGTCCAGGGCCCTGGGAGGGGCAGACCCGGCTCTGCTGCAAGTGGTCACGCACAGCCCAGTTCATCACACGTGATCATGTGCCCCCGTGGTGTTACTGTTAAACGACACTGGAAAGACCACAGTGGAATGGGGTAAGGATTCCAGGAGGAAATGATGAGCAGGCCTTTCCTCAGGGGTCCGGTGTTCCCATTTTACAGATGGGGAGCTCAGGCCCTGCAAACCAGTTTCATAAGTAACTTATGGGACAGGAGGAGCAAAGTGTGGATTCCGATCCGGATCTGCCTGGGTATCAGGTGTCTTCTGAGAAGAAGAACATGGATCAGCCTGATTTTCCAGTCCATCCTCGGCTTCAATACTGGAGAGGCCCCTGGGGCTATTATCCCAAAGGCAACACTTCCTGTATCCTCAGATCCTCTCCCACTCACATCCGATTGGCTGCTCCTGCTCCCACGTCCCCCACTGGGCCCTGCCAAGCAGCTGGAGTGAAGACTGAATAGGGTTCTGTTACAGAGGGAGCTGCCTTTTTTTAGGAAAATGTTATCATGGGCAGCGTGGGGGCTGCAGGGGGAGAGAAGAGAGAGTAAGAGATGGCCAGAGGCTCTGCTGATTGAAATGACCCAGATTTTGCATTCTGCATGAGACCACCGCAGACCTCTCTATGTAAAACCAAACATGCCCCCTCCGCTGCCCCTAGGACTGTCCATCCCTCACCTTCGCTCTTCTCTGTCTTTTCGCCAGATCAGTCACCACCTTCTGGCCTACCCTGTAATTTGCTCATTTATCACTTTCTTTGTGTCAGATCTGCCCCTCTAGACTACACTCCGGGAAGGCAAAGTTTCTGTCTCTTTGCTCAAATACCTCCCAAATGCCCGGAGCAGGCTTGACACATGGTGAGTGCTCCAAGAATGTTTGTTGAATGAGTGCATGACCCACAGAAAAGGTCAAAGTGGGCATCAGATGGACAAGAAGTATTTTTCAAGAGCAGGGAACTCAGGTTTGACTGCCAGCTGGGGGTGTCGGTGTGATGCGCACCCCACAACCCCTGCATCCTCAGTTCCCTACCTGCTGTGTGTGTCTGTGCGTGTCTGTGTGTGTGTGTGTGTGAGTGAGGGTGAGTGTCTGATGTGGCAGGAACAGCAGAATGATGAGGAGGGCAGGGAACTCAGGTTCGCACTCAAATCCAGGAGCAGGCACAGCACAGTAGTAGGGCTGGGAGGGACCTGGGCTGCCCCGAGCTCTCACCAGGACGGCACTGGCAGATGAGCTGCCTGAGGTCTGGGAGGGGGCAACAGCTTGCACAGGGCATCCTGCAGGCAGAGGCTTCATGGCCCCTCCACCCTGCGAGGCTGCACATCCTCATCTTGGCTGGAGGAGCCTGAGAATTAGTGAAGTTCAGACACTTGCCCGAGGGGACCCGAGCCCCTTTCCTGAGCTGCACAAACCCCATACGACCTGCTTCTGAGTTCTGACTCTGCCCCAGCGGTGTAACCTTGGACAAGCTGTTATGTTTCCCTCATGTGCCTTGGTGGTCCCCATCTGTAAATGGGCTAGTAAAGGCGGCTGCTTCACCAGGTTCGGGTAAGGTGGTGCTTGTAATCCATTAACCAGTCATGGAACCCGTTCAGTGGGCCTCAGTTAACATGAGATGATACCAGGGACACACCTGGCTCCCTCGCACATTTTACCAAAGGCAGGTCTTGAGCAAAGTTGCTTTCAGTTCCTGGAGGCCTCAGCGAGTTGACCAGCATCACTTGTGGTTGGGCGGGGCCCAGTCTGGCTCAGAGGCCCCTCCCTGGAGGAGGCTGTACTTTCTGATTGCAGCTACCTGCTATATAAGGTCCCTTACACCCCTGCTACAAGCTTCTGCCGGGACCCACCCTCTGGAGGGCAATCTCTGGGCCGAGACCGAGAAGGTGAGGGGCTGGGGCTGGGCTGTGGGACTCAGGCTGGGAGAAGCTGAAAGCAGAGGCGGGGCATTCAGGGCGGGCTGGGGGACAGCGCATCTCATGGCTCCTGCTCCTTGGGCAGTGCTCAGGGGAGGGGCGGCTAGAGCGGAGAGGTGCTGAGGTTTGCTCCGTGTGTGTGATGCTCTGTCCTTCTCATGGCTTCTGTGAGCCCTCGCTCCTCTGTGCGGAAGGTGAGAGCCATTGTGGTAGGTCCCTCTCAGACTGTTGAAAATATCCAAGGATAGAAGGAGTGGGAAGGCCTTTGCAAAGCGGTGGACACACGCCTCTCGTTCTCACTTGCCCCACGGGGCCCCCTGCCCCGACCCCCACCTCGCTGACCCCTCTCTCCCACGGAGGTGGGGAGCCAGGCTCTGGGCCCCACCACCTCCAGGTGCTGTCTCTCTGCTGCATGTCCCTGGATAAGGTCCTGACCTCTCCGGGCCTCCAGTGTTTCCCCCTGGAAATGGGGCTAATCGTCAGGGCTCCGCCCCAAGGGCTCAGGCGGTTTGTCTGCTTAACTGATGTCACTGCCGTGGCCTCTTTAAGGTCACCTCCTTCCCTCCCCTCTCCTCTTCCCCCGTCCCCACAAGGCTTCCCCGTCCCTTCCCAGGAGGCCCGACCCCTGAACCTCTCTCTGTCCTGGGTTTCCGGGCCTGGAAGGTGACTGGGCCGGGAAGGATACAAGGTTCCGCGCACAGAGGAACTGCCACGCGCTCCACACCAGACGTACGTTATCTGTTCTCCCTGGATCTCTAAGTGGCGGGGCCACTGGCTAACTGACAGGCCCTCTGTTCCCCTGATGGGCTGGTTTCTCCTCCTCCTTTTCACCAACCCCTGATGAGTTAACTAGGGGAGCATAGGTGCAGGGGTGCGTGTG